CTTCCCTAAATTCTGTTTTGTCTCTAACACACAATACATTTGTGTTTGTAAACTTATTGTGATGTAAAAGAATATATATGATTCCATTTATATAAAATCTCCAAAAGACATCAGTAATCTAGAGACAGAATGTAGATCAGTGGTTCCTTGGGAGTGGAGGATACAGGGAGATAGGAAAGAGGGAGGCTGACTGGCATGGAGCATTAGGAATGTTGTAAGGTGATGAAAATGTTTTATATCTTCATTGTGGTAGTGGTTGCACAGGTATACAGATTTGTCAAAGCTCATCAAAATACTTAAAATTATTACATTTTGTGTCTAAACTCTCTCTCAATAAACTGACTTTAAAAATAAGGATTATGAAAGGAATGTCTTTTAGGTTTCAATGCCTCTCCCACTCCAAATTTCCTATTTGTGTGCTATTTTTTTCCTTGACTAATATCCAGAAGATTACATCTTTTACAAGAGTAAAATATAACTTGAAGCACATGATAATGACTAACAGATGTAACACACAGATTTTCTTCTTAACTAGTTTATCCTGGTTAACAAATTGGTTTACAAATAAACCAATTTAGCAATATTTAAATCTACTATACTTTGAAGAGTAAAAATGAATGCAGCTTCAAATCTAACAGGAGTTTTTTATCACATTAATGACAAAGTGATTTAGCCTGTATCATGATATTGCTTCTGTTAATAGTTAATGCTATAAGTAACTGGCTTCAGTAAATCCCTGTTCCTACTACTGTGAGCTTTAGTTAGCAAGACTGCAACACAATCTGATAGTCTTTTCCGAAGTGCCTCTCTGCCCAAGATTATGACAAACTAAGTTAGACAGATTTAGTCTGTCTAGCTTTTATTCCTAACACAAAGTTTTGAATGGTTTTTCCTCAAAGAGAGAGGAATAAATAAGTGTGTTTATTCTGGCTAGCATGAAAATTGTCTTCCTAGTGCATTCTCTTCTCAATGCAATTCTTTGCCCCACTATCCCAAGGTGCAAAAGCTGAAATTTAGCCAGCCACTCACTAGGAACCCATTCTATGTGGACCCACACACACTCCAAAGCTAAAACCTTCAGAAACTCAACTAGTAGTGTAAGGATATGAAAAGCCCTAAGATTACCACAGTTGACAATCACTACCAGGCAAAGCCTAGAACAGGAGCTTTTTAACTTTTTTAACCATAACCCTTAGTAAGAAACACATTTCATTATCACAACTCAGTGCACACATAATGTATAAAACATGTAACTGAAATAAAGGGTCATGAAACAGTATTTACCCTTAACGCAAGATGCACTTTGATATTTTCTATTCTTTTTCTTTCTTTAAGAGAGGGGGTCTCCCTTTGTTACCCAGGCTGGTCTTAAACTCCTGAGCTCAAAGGATTCTCCCACCTCAGCCTCCCAATGTGTTGGGATTACAGTCGTGAGCCATCATCATGGCAGATACCTTCTATTATTTAAAAATTCTCATCATTAGCTCTATTTCTTTCACAACTCAACAAGTGGGTCCTGATACATGTTTGAGAAAAGACTAGACAACAACAAAGAGCTGTCCAGCTTCCCCATCATTCTACCAGTTCCTGGATTGGAGCTTTCTAATGCACTTCTCACCACTAACTACATACCATGTGCCAGACACTGTTCTGAAGGTTTTAAAAATAAAAAGAAATATCTGAGGAAGATCTTAACTTCAAAGAGTCTTTAAGTTTAGTAATGGAGTGAAAACCTACACTGGAATCCTAAGAGATAAAGTAATACGGGAATTTGGAGGACAGAGATTTGTTTCAGCAGGGGATAAATCAACAAGGCTTAAACAAAAAAGGTACTATTTGAACTGTTTTTGTTTCTTCTTTGCTATCAGAGGTCTGCAGGATGAACTGGTCTAAAGTGAGAGAAAGATTTAGCTATGTGATGATGTGGAAGAAGGTGAAGTACTACAAATCAAGAGAGCATAAAAACAAAAACAGAAATATTTCAGCATGTGAACAGCAGACTAAAAGGTCCCATGTCTGAAGAAAAGCTACGGGCCAACTCCTGTCTCTCGAAATGCCAGGCAAACAAATTCTTCTGCAGATTGGCGGAGATCTGAAAGGTGTTTAGCAAAAAAAGTGACTGGATTATAATGCTTTTTAGAAAGATGCCAAGCAAAATTATTTAGTGGTTTTGAAGTGACCAGGACATACCTATTTTTAAATCCTAAGGTTAAAACCTCTATTCCAGGACAGGACGCAGTGGCTCATGCCTGTAATCCCAATGTTTTCGGAGACCAAGATGGGAGGATGGCTTGAGCCCAGGAGTTCCAAGTTACAGTGAGCTATGATTGCGCCACTGTATTCCAGACTGGATAATAGAGGAAAGCCCTGTATCCAAAAACAAACAAAAAAACTTTTCAAAGGCAAATATAAATGTTTTTTAGACTATTCAAGCCATATCATCTCATCTGCTAAGGCGGATAACGTGATGATCAAATGAAATAAGAAAATGATTTAAACAACAATTAAAAAAACTCATCCTAAAAAGTGAAAATAAAACCTGTCCCCAAAGTTTTAGTAATAAAAGAGCACTAGAATACGAGTTTTCTGAAACCTACCTGTTGTATAACCTTAAATGTGAATTTAGAAATGAGCACCAGATACTGAAGACCTCCTCTATGTGCCAGAGAATGCACCAGAAGATTCACATGAGTAAAAGTGATTCAGAGTCCTAGGACAAAAATCTCCTCTTCTTCCCCAGAGAACTCAGCCACTTCCCCAAGAACTCAGCAGAACCCATTAAAACAAGTCAGAAACTCGTTTTTTCAATCTTAGGAAAAAATGTAGTTCTAGATCCCTTCTACTTGAACCTCCACACAAAATAATAACGGTTTCTAAAATATTCCTTAGCAACATATACAAGTGGTTTACCAACTGGGTTTCCCCCCCTAAACTATCACTACTACTGCCCACTTCCCTATCCCATCTTTCCGCCTCAAACAGTGTAATTTGCTTCCTCAGCACATGCTTCTCTGCAAGCAATGCTCTTCCATCTGTGGAAGAATTAAGAATTATCATCATTCTTCAACGCCAATCAAAAGTGCAGCGCTGATAAGCCTTTCACGGAGGCTAGCTCACGCATTGATACTTCACAGCACTGAACTTGGCCCCTTTATAGCACTAACAGGTATTAACGACCTGTTCACCTGTCAATTTCCATCAGGTAGGCACAGTTCTTATTTACCTCTACGCATTCCTTCCCCAACACATGGGTTATATCTGGCATATACTAACTGCTGGATAATTGGTTGCCAACAGCAACCTCTCAACCTAAGGAAAACCCCACAACACTCTGTTAAAGTTTCTAAACATTTGCTGAGAAAACGTTAACACAGGATAAGAAAGTGTATCCGAATAAAATAAACCAAGAGATGAGTGGACTGAGTCAAACCTGACAAAAAGTAACATAGAAAGGTGAAAGCAAAAACAAAGGACTTCTCCCCCCCCCCCCAATGTACTACATTCCCACAGGAGGGATAATTCACAAAATGAGCAGTGGATAAGACTAATAATATGAAAAGCAAGTTGTGCAGCCTCCGGGAGAAAGAATGCGCAGGGCTATCAATCTTCTAAGAGTGAGGTTCCAGGCACCGAACGGACTGGTCTTACAGCCCGGGCAAAAAAGGAAGACCGCTTGGTTGGGCTCCACCACGGAGGTGTGCGGTCCTGCTTCGGCGAACGGGGCGGGGAGAAGAGGAAATGACGAGCCAAAAGGGGTGGTAACGGCGCCAGGCCGGAGACTCGGGCGGAGCGGGCTGGGAGGTGGGGCGCGGCGAAGCAGGGGGAGTGGGCGAATTAACGACCCCCTACTCCCCACCAGGGAGCCTGGGGGGGCGGCCCCGTAGGGCTGCGAGGCGAGAACGGGCCAGCCCCCTTGCTAGCCCCACTTGGGACCCTGCGGCCGCGACGCGCACCCTCCCCAGGCCTCTCCTTCCGACCTAGAGGGACCGTAGACAGAGGGACCAGGCTCGCGGGAGGCGGGGGGCGCGGGCCCCAGGGAGGCTTCCAGTCCCAAGGACTGGAGCGTGGAGAGTGCAAGGGCGGGTTTAAGTGTGCAGCCAGAATGACCAGGAGAAAATCGCCGAGGCTAAGGGAGCGCGCGTCCCCTTGCGCAGGGCCATTTGTGGCCCCAAGCCTGCGGCCTGAGAACCTGGGCCTAAGAGTCGGGGAACGGGGACGCATTCCCAACTGGCCCTGGCACTCTGCGAAGGTCGGGGCCCCGAGGTGCCTGCTCCCGGGGTGCCATCCCCGCGCGGGGCGGCCCCTGCAGGCCTCGGGCGGGAGTGTCCCGAGGCACTCGCAGGCTCCGGGCCGGGGCCGCAGGCCGCCCCACTCGGCTAGGCTCAGCTCGACTCCCCGGGCTCGACGGGCGCCTGGGCCTCTCCTGAGTGGTCAGCGAGACCCGCCAATCGGGGCGCTGGGGCCGGCTCTGGGCCGCTGGATATTGGCTCCTCACACTCACCGTGCCTCGCTCCCCCGGTTCGCTGCCCGCGCTGATTGGCTCCAGTACCGGACTCCGAAACCCAATCAGAGGCTCCAGCCGCCGCTGCCGCCGCCACTGCCGCTGCCTCGCAAAATGGCGAACCTGAACAAAGGGAAATAGGGCCTCCCTCCAACCGCCTTCGCGCAGGCGCCTCTGAGACCACGCCCCCTAACTCTAGTTCTGGGCTCGCCCCACCCCTTTGGAGGAGCAACGCGCAGGCGTCCCCTGCAGCCACGCCCACCTTCTGATTTAACACCGCCTCCAGCCGAAGGAATACGCAGGCGCCTTCAAGAAGCGGCAGACCCTTCATCTCAAAACACTACCTTGAGCTTAGTTCTACGCAGGCGCCAACTAGCCCCTTTGCTGATTCCCCACCCCTTTCCAGGCGGCCACTAGGACACACCCCTGCGGCTACTACGCAAGCGCCACCTTTCCTGACTTGTAGTGGGCATTCTCGTTACGCATGCGCGGGCGGCGGCGGGAAACCACGGAATTTACTGCCGGAAGTGCGGCGGCCATAGCCAAAGAGTGTAGACTCGGCTAGCAAGCTAGAGGGGCTCGTTTCCGCCCCGCTACCGGGCGGGGGCGGCCATCTTAGGTGCGTGCAATTAAGGGCTGTGGCGGGATTGGCTCCGCGTTTGGGCTGCTCCGCTCCTCCCCACCTACTGGGGTCGTATCCGGAGCCCTTCCCCGCGGGGCGGGGATCCCCAAACAGCCGACTCCTTTTCAGGGGAAGGGTGACTCGGGTAAGTTGCGGCTTTGAGCGAGCCTCCCCGCACCCTCCATAGGACTCCAGGACAGGACAGACCCTGCGTCCTCGTGGATCCGCCCTAGAGTAGGAGACAGAGAATGGGAGGCTTCTCTAGACTCTTTCCTACTCCCATGCACCGCCCAAAAAAGGGGGGGGTGGCGAACGTTTTGAGAGGCCGCTTTCCTTTCCCCACGCTTGGGGCTCACGCTCGTACCCTGTACACTCTGGTTGCGGCTTAACGGGACTGTGGCCAAGTCCTTCCTGTTTTCTTCTAAGCCACACCCCCGGGGGAAATACTTCTGCGTCGTGCACAGAAAAGGGGAGCGTCCTAAATCCGCCTTGCTCCGGAGCTGCAGTGGAGAAAGGAGGAGGCGTGTCTTAGGATGGGCTTTGCCTCGGCTGGCGGAGCGGGGCGCTCCAGGAAAGCGCGAAATGGGAGCAGATCCAGGCAGCCACCGAACCTAAGCGTTCTTCCTTTTTGCCACAGAAGAGTTTTGTATTACTTCCCAGGGGCCGAACAAACTCACATTCATCGATAAACATTCGGGGGGAAAATCCTAATAAGTGGGTGTACAGGGCAATCAATATTATATACTGAGGCTGCCTGTTTTTTACCTCCTTTTCTCTTCTCATAGCTGAAGAAACACTTAAATTCTGGAAATAGCGACTCAGTATCATGGCCAGCAGTCTTAATGAAGATCCAGAAGGAAGCAGAGTGCGTAACAACTATTCATTTATTGGTGAACTGAAATTCATAATAATGGAGGTCAAAAGCCTAAACACTTTTAATTAAGTCAGTGATTGAATTATTCTTTTTTTCTCTCTAGCTGATTCACTTAGGCTCAAAATTCTTGGCAGGGATCATCCATTACTTTCCTTTTACACATGCGGTAATTCATTGTAGTTAAATCAAATCCTGCAGATTTGGCTTTAAATCAGATTGCAGGAAGGGGTACAGGGAGAGGTAGTGGTGGGGGACAAAATACAGAAAAATAAATAGCTTAGTATTTTTCTGCATCTAATAAAACATTGTCTTTTCCTTTGCACATTTTTTAGATCACTTATGTGAAAGGAGACCTTTTTGCATGCCCCAAAACAGACTCTTTAGCGCACTGTATCAGTGAGGATTGTCGCATGGACGCTGGGATAGCTGTCCTCTTCAAGAAGAAATTTGGAGGGGTGGAAGAACTTTTAAATCAACGTGAGTTTTGGAAACCAATTACCTGGTTTGACCTGGCTAGAGCACGTCTTGATCTGTTACACTTTAATAAACAAGATATACGTGTAAAGGGGATTCCTAAGAACCAAATGTTTTTAGATTTTTCTTCCCCAAGATTGCTCTCTAGTTTGGATCCTTATCATATCAAACCTGAACTCCTGTGAAGGTTTTTAATCTCGTTCTCCTCTATCATAAAACCTTCTTCACGATATTACTTCACTTGTAATAACTCTGAAATGCTTAGCACAATGTATAGGTTGGCATATAAGATCATCTACTTACCAATACTCTGCTTTTTCTTCAAAGAGGAATTTAGAAACCTTTTCTTCCTTGCAGACCCCTCCCATCCCTTTCTACTGATGACTTTAAACCAGAAATGTGCACTAAATTCCTATTGTGAAGCTTCTGAAAGTTTCTTAGACCACATTCCAGGCTTACAGAATCAGTGTCCACAGTGATTCTTAGCCCTACACAAAGGCAATTTTTTACTGCTTTGTATTGTAGTTATTTGTAACAATTATACCTTCTCTGGATTGAAAATTCTGTCATAATGCCTTTTTTATATGTCTGTATTCCTTGTAATGTCTTATACAGCTCTTTGAATGTAAAAAGATAATTATTGAATAAATACACATTTGGCAAATAAACTATACATTCCAAAACAATTTAAAGGCAATAGACAAAGTTTGTGGACAAATGAGGGTATATTTGAAAGTAGAAACAGGACCAGAGTTGGGTCGTGAGGAAACATGTTTGTAAAAAAGCTGTAAGTTAAGGAATGTAGTATTTGGGAATGCCGATAAAAAGCAAAGTGTGGGGGACAATAGGTCTTCCCTGTTCCTTTCAATGTTGAAAATTAGTACTGAGGTAAACTTGTAAAGATTTAAAAATCTAAGAATGTAGATCAGTGTTTGGTTTGCTCTTTCATTTCTATTATTAAATAACTTTTTCCTAGAAAAGGAATCTGGAGAAGTGGCTGTTCTGAAGAGAGATGGGCGATATATATATTACTTGGTAAGATGGGACCAGCCCTTTTTCTTTTTTTTCAGGGCCAATTCTTAATACATTTTAAGGATTGGTGAACAGATGGGCTGCACTGCATTTGTGTTGATCATGATGTTCCATTCTAGACAACTAAGGATGTCAAAAGGCCTCCTATCTTATGACTACTCAGGTCCAGTGATGGCAGCTACTTGGAGCACTGGGTTAGAAAGGAATGTGAGGTGACATCCCAGCTGTGTGGGAAAGTCCTGTGCCATTTACCATAGGCTTGTTCTGAGACTTGCAAAAGTTAGGAATGCCTCCTATACTATATTTTCTAAGCAGAGTGAGGTAAAAACAATGTCTCAAGAGACAGAGTCCTCAAAGGAGCTTTTCTTGTATTCCATGTCAAATAGCACACTGACAGCAAGGGAGTGAAAAAAAAAAAAATAAGTGCAGTGCCAAATAATACCTAGCTCCTCTCCTAACTACTGCTTGAATGTGGGGTTCTTCAACAGTCCAAGATGTTATTTGGTCCCTGAAAGGGTGTGGCTTCCTTGGTGATGGTGGTGGATAACTTACAGCTAACCCCCTACAAGCCTGATCTGGATGGCAAACTGAGTAGGGAGATGTCCTAACCCCTTTGAATTCTGTCCTTAAAGCTTATGTGGCTTCCAGTGTTTTTACTTTGGGACACTACCAGTTTTTTCTATTGTTTTATATAAAGGAACATCAAGGAAGCAAGCATAGTTGCTAAATAAATAGAGGCCTTTTTTAGCAGGAAATTTTCAGGTGGTGTGCATTCTTCCTTGTTATAGATATGCAGCTTATCTCTTGGAAGTGGCACAGAGAATTTCACCTACCTTGCTTAAAAATATTGACTTTAGACACCACCTGCTAATCTTGGGTTTTCTGGGAAAAGGAAAGATTACTACGTGGCAGAATCTGGTTTTCTCAGTCTCTACTTAGTGGATTTTTTGAGGATCTCCCATAACGGTGTGGAAGGGGCAATATGACTTGACGTTTGTCATCCTTGCTCTAGACTAATTCAATTAAAAAATGCCCCTTTTTAAATTATCAGGATGTTGGGGGAATGGGGTGATTTTCTTTGGCTATCATTTTGGGATGATGAAAGTTTGAATCCTTTGTGTTCAGATTACAAAGAAAAGGGCTTCGCACAAGCCAACTTACGAAACCTTACGGAAGAGTTTAGAGGCAATGAAGTCTCATTGTCTGAAGAATGGAGTCACCGACCTCTCCATGCCAAGGCAAGGAAATCTATGGCCCTAAATGGAGATTTAATTGATTAGTGGGGTTTACTGTCTTACCCAAAGACAACTTAAAAGCTTAACCCAAAATACAGATTTAAAGGTGGACAAAAGTCAAAATTTTGTAAAACCACCAGTAAACCAGTTGTCTGGGCTTAGGCCAAGACACAGCCATTTTCTAGCTTGAGTTGAATATATCATGACAATTACCTTGAAATACACACCTGCCTCAGCCTACTTAGCAGAGAGGAACCATTGTTACTCAGTCACATTTGTTGAATTCTCAGCATCCTCTGCTTGAAGCTGGACCTCTATTCCTGAAGCAATATAAGCTAAAGAATCAAGACAATAATGGTGATTCCCCTCTTGGACCACTTCCCATCTCCCAGACCTATTACTTTGTGTCAAGAAAGTTGTAAATTATCACTGTCTTTTATACTGCATGCTTGTTTGTGGTCAGTGTGGCTAATAGCTGGAGGATCTGTCCCTGATGTCACTTCTTAGACCTTAGCTATTGGGAACTTAAGGGAATGACTTTGAGGGTTCAGTATTTCCTTTGCTTTCTTTTCAGGAAATGGGCCTCAGCTCTTCCTGTCACCCTGGTAGTTTTGAGTCAATGCTGAGCATGCATGCAGTTTTATCTCGAGTCCCATGTTACTTTGAGTGTGGCTGCAATGTCCCTTATTTTACACTGGTCTTTGATATATTTATGGTGTATGTATCAGAAACTTTTTAAAATCACAGTTCTTTACCGACTTAATTATCAAATCGTGAGATGAAATTAGCAATTTTGAGTCTCCTTTTCCGTAGGGATGTTGAGGATCACTAGAGTAACATCTTAGAAGGTGTCAGGTAGTAGAGTTTTATGGACTGAGTTTACTGAGTTTATTCTCAACCAAGGTGTTGCAAAAACCTTATTCCTGGATTGTAGCCATTTTGCCATTTCCTAGCATTCCATCTTGACTTTCTTTTCTGCAGAGGTCCTGTACCTCATCCCTTTTCTCCTTATTTTAGTTAACATTTTGTTACCGTAAGTGTATTTTTAAAATACCAACCTTTCCCCATCCGTCCACAGCCAATTTTAGTCAGTAGTCATAGAGGGAAAATGAGTCTCCCATGCCATGACAGTTATACATTTCTAAATGTAAACGAAATAGTTGGAAAGTGGTATCTTATTAGACAAAAAGAAGTGATAGTTTTTAGATGTTAGAGCTGTCCAGGAATGGTCATAGGTGACTCACAACAAGAATTGACTTCCAAACTCCTACCATGGTTGCCTATAAGGGTGTGAGACTAGATTATTTGTTTTTATGCTGTGAGTGGATATAGCTGACAAGAGAGAAGGACCAGTTTCCTATATACTTTCATCACCGTCAATGGAGATATTTTGTCTTTTTCAGGATTGGATGTGGTCTTGATCGTCTGCAATGGGAAAATGTATCTGCGATGATCGAGGAGGTATTTGAAGCAACAGACATCAAAATTACTGTGTACACACTTTGAATCAATATTTGGATGTTTCCATGTTCTCCTCTGTCATCTCTACCAGGCCATAGGACTGGGCAAACCTACGTTAAAATCGGCAGAGGAAAGTTTCGTGGGAAGTAATCTGTTTCACAAGACAGACTTTGGTTGCTGTATTCAAGTATTTGGACTAGGACTGTGGAGGAGGGGTTGCTTATGATATATTGCTGTGTTTTTTTGCAATAAAGTAAGGAGTGGGTGGCCCGATAATAGGCCTGGAAACTAGATTGTTGGGACTGTGACCTTTGTTTTGCTCCAGTATGCTACCTGATTTGTTTGGCTGGCCGCTAGGTGGCAGCATTGGTTCTACATCTCTGCTTTTAAAGAGAAATTTCAGGAAAGATGATCATTCCAGTTTGGCATTTTTTTGTCGTTTGTGCACATAACTTGGTGTTATCCTTATGTCATCAGAATCCTCTGAGGGGAGACTTTTCATTTTAATTGCACAATTCTACATTGCTAACAAAAAATTTGTGGTGATAAAAAAATGGAAAAATAAATCTTTGGGGGATTTAGGAGGTTCTGTGCTTATGTCTGTCTGTTTGTTCTGGTCTTGGGTAATGGAGGATTCACCTGCAACTTAATTTCAAACAGTCAGACAAAGGGTCCAAGTAGGAGGAAAAGCAAAGTGAAAATAAGAAAATTGGACAAGTCGAAAGGCAGGTTTTCAGAATCTCCTCATGGTGAACTTTTTCTCTCTTTTGTCCACTGCGTGGTTTCTGTGATTGAACCTGTCTGAATTTAATCATTAAAACAAGTGAAATAATACATGTCAAATGCCTAGCAGAGTATTTAGCACAGAATAGTGACCTAATAAATCAGTGATTCCCAAACATCCATATGAATCTTCTTTAAAAAATAAGAAGATTCCTCTCAAAAAATTCTCACATCTGTCATCCCAGCACTTTGAGAGGCTGAGACTGGAGGATCACTTGAGCCCAGCAGTTTGAGACCAACCTGGGTATCATAGTGAGACCCTATCTCTACAGAAAAAAAAAGCTGGATGTGTTGGTGCACGCCTATAGTTCCAACTACCCTAGAGGGTGAGGTGGGAGGATGGCTTGAGCAGCCTAGGAGGTTGAAGTTGCATTGAGCTGTGGTTGTGCCACTGTACTCTAGTGTGGGAAACAGAACAAGACCCTGTCTCAAAAAAAAATTATAATTTGGTGGTGGAGTTGAATGGCCACTTTGGTGTTTTTAACCTTCATAGAAGATTTGGATGTGTAGCCAACTGGGATCTAAATAGTCCCCTTTACTTCTGAAGCTACAAAGACCAGTCATCTATTGTGTTCTTGGTGGGAAAATAAAGTTCATGGATTAGCCAGTGGTTCAGTATCAGAGCTATTGGGGAAACTAGACATTTTCTTTTTTTCCCCTTACTGTGGTGTTGAGAGTTAAAACAGCCAGGCTTGCTATTGATTTTCTCCCCAGAGTCACTTTGGGCCTGTCACAGGACTTGCTGCTTTCCCAAGTATAAAAGAACAACTGTATTTTAGAAGGGGCTTGTTTAAACACCAGGAAAGTACTGGTTAAATATAATCTTTGTACTTTAGACTTGTGTTTTTATCTCATATCAGCCTGATAAGAGGCAACAGTTTAAAAAAAAGTATTTCACTTTTGTATTTCTAGGCAGAACAGACAAGTTCTTGATGTTGTTGGGGTAGGGGCAGTGGAGGGTCAAGTTCATTATCAAACTTTTAGATTGAGGCTTTTCTTGAAGCATTGCTTTTGTCCACATAAAATTAAGGGAAAAAGGAAGAAGAGATTGTCTAAATACACAAAATTAAAAATGAGAGTGGGGGATAAATAGAAACTTAAAGAAACTTACAGTATTTTGCTTAACTGTGCAATTACAGATGCTCCTCAACTTATGTTAGGGCTATGCCTGGGTAACCCCATCTTGAATTCAGTTGAAGAGTGTACTGAATGTGTATGGCTGTTACACCATTGCAAAGTCAAAAACTTGCAAGACAAACCATTGTAAATTGGGTACCATCTGTAAATCTTAACACAAGTCAAAACATGGATTTTCTAGACTTCCTTACTTTTAAAGAGATTATGGTTTTTTTTTTTTTTTTTTTTTTTTTTTTTTTTTTTTTTTTTTTTTTTTTTTTTTTTTTTTTTTTTTTTTTTCCGTGGAGTATGAGCCTTCATTCTTCAAACAAAACCTAGTCTCATCCAGGATTGGCTGTAAGTAGAATTCTGGGACTTGGCAGGAATGTGATAAAGCACTTTGTTATTTGCAGATAGTAGTCTTGGGTCAAATTCCGATGACTTATCACACTTGAAGCCTGGGGAAGGAAGGCATGTCCTGGTAATCAGAGTGAACACATTATTCCTGGAAACCTAGTTAGAGTTTGGCAAACACCCAGAAATTTACCTGTGATTTTTTGCTTCCACATAGGACTCAAACAATCCTTTAAAAAATGAGACTTGACATCATCCTGCCATTACCATCAAACACCATATGTTGAATTCTTTTAAATGATTGTGTATCTGAACATCAAACTCCTACTTTTTACCTGCTCCTTGCTAATCAAGAATCTAATTGCTTATTAATTGGTATTTGGGATGTGGCTACCTTGGATTTCTCATGCTTTTTTGTTCCACCTTCTACTGTATTACTTGATTCAGAGAAAGAAAGAGGCCCTCATTTGACTGTGGCAAGAAGGATGTATGGGAGAGTTATTCTGTATTGTCTAGCCAAGTCCTGGTTTAACCTTCCCTCCCACTTCGTAATGTCATGGCTTGGTTCATAGCCTGGGGCGTCCCTGTGTCTGGGACCGGCTCAGTTGTCTGTGGTAACTTCCAAATATTCCAGTTTCTTAATCTGGCCACGGGAAAAACACACCACTTTTATTAATGTTGTTTTTCTTTTTTAAAAAAAATACTCAAAATGCACATTTCAGAAATCTAAACCTTGGGTCTGAGGCTGTTTGCGTTAAGCAGCCCCCTTGGGTGAGCAGTTAGGACCTTCAGTCTCATAGTTGACTGGTGCCCATGTATGGTTGCGTTTCTCTCCTTGCAGGTCACTTTCCTCCTTCCCAAGAGCAGCATTAGAGAGAGAGGCACAGCTTAAATGAACTACAGCATGAGAAGTATATTTCAAGTCCTCTAAGGGCCTTGTCCAGGATGATTGGTTGGTGTCGAATGTTGTCCAGCTCCAAATGGTATTAGGCAGGCATGTCCCAGATGGCTATACATGTCACTGCTGTCTCTGGATGGCAGCAGGAAGACCTTGGTTAAACAAAAAAAGAAAATGTGTTACTGAGAGCCCTGCTAGCCCCCAACAATGGCTAGTTTCTTTTTGAACTAAGGTTTCTGTGTGTCCTTCCCAACAAGTCCCTGAATTTCTCATAGTTTCCTTTGGTTTCTGATTTACCCGGGATTGAGTAGATTGACAAGAACCCAATCTCTCATTCATGTTTTGATGTGGTTTACACAGAAAAAGGCCCCTACTTTAACTCTGTTCTTTTGACTAGATACAGGATTAAATACTGTTCTGTTGCTTTTTAAAAAAAATAAATAAAAGATGAAGTAAGAAATATGTAAAATAAGACATTTAATAAATGCTCATTTCTCGAGATAAGGGTTGTTGTTCTTTTGGGCTTTTAGATTACAACACCATCTCATACCAGTTTTGTTTTTGTTTTTTTAAATTGTTATATCTTTAACCTTTCCCTTCGGAAACATGAGCAATTCAAATAGACAGGGAAGCATGTTAATGGGTCCAGAAAATGCAGTTACATTTGATGGAAGAAGGATTAAAATTGAAGATGTCTACTAATATTTAAAAATAATCTGACTGATATTTTATTTTTCCTCAAACAGTGATTTATTTCTTTTACTTCTGTTTAGATTAGTATAGATATAACCCTCAATTCAAAATTAAAAATCTTTTACATCTTCTTTGAAATGCTTAATTTTAATGAAAAAAAAATCACTGGGGAAAAAAAAGTCCCAAGGACTTGCTAGTTAGGCAGCTAGGCCATTGACTCTGAACGATGTTTAAAAGGAAAGTATACTGCAGTTAAAATGAAGCTGCCAGTTAGTCTGCAGAGTTTGTGTTGGGTTTATAATTATAATGATAGTACATACACTAACAAAATCTTCAAGGAATTCTAAAAGTTAAATTTTATATTTTCAGAAGGAACCCTCAGAAATCTGTTTTCATACTGTTTACCACTACCGAGTGTCAGTGTCTTATTTTATGTGAGCGGAGTACCAATAGTATACCCTGCCATAGGCTCTCCGAATTCAGTGGCTGGGTCCTGCTTTTTCTGAGAAACGGTGAAAGTCGTGTCTTTTTTTTTTTTTTTTTTTTAATCTGAAAGTTGTGTCTTAATGGGTTGGCAAATGCTCTGCTTGAGAATGATCAGGTCCCGGTGTGCCTGTCTAATAGAAAACACCTGCCAACATCAAGCCCTGGAATATTGATATTTCCTAAACGTGTCTATGAAACGACATCTTCTGTTAAGGGTGTTAGAGTGAGAAAGACCAAAAGTATCCTCATGGAAGCATGTTGTTTTCATGTATTAGTAATATGTGAATTGTTACAGAATTAAAGCTGGGTAAGAGTGTCGTGAAGACCCCTTCTCTATTACTGGAAGATTTTGATCAGTAACTGGGGCCTTGCAAAGGGGGCTTAGTCATAGCATTTTGGTAGGTGCAAACTCCGATCAGACTAAATGCAAAAAAAGATAGTAAAGGATCCTTTAGCCCTCTTTCCTGAGGGTAATTGGCCTATTTCTCTAAGAGTTTAATTTACCCTCAGCAAGAGGCCAAATTGGCCTTAATTGTGTCCTAATTATTTGCTTAAATAGCTAATCTTTACTTCCAGTTCTCCTATCACCTCTTGCTATCTGTAAGAGGTTACTTCTGAGCTGCTGCCTGATTTACAAACGTCTTTTTAACCCTTTAAATATTCCTGCATGGACTAGCTTGTTGCTATATCATACTCATTCCTGCATTTGGCATCCCTCATGAATTCTGCTGCAGTCTTCTCATAAGGAAAATGCTCTTGTATTATACATTCACATAGCAATTATTGGTCTCCTTCAAAGTGTAGCCATCTGTTTGAAAACACGAAAGCATGCCTGGCTAAAAAAAAGTTAAATACCGCCTGGCGCGGTGACTCACACCTGTAATCCCAGCACTTCGGGACGCTGAGGCAGGCAGATCATGAGGTCAGGAGATCAAGACCATCCTGGCCAACATGGTGAAACCCCATCTCTACTAAAAATACAAAAATTAGCTGGGCATGGTGGCACCTGCCTGTAATCTCAGCTACTTGGGAGGCTTATGTAGGAGAATCGCTTGAACCAGGGAGTCAGAGGTTGCAGTGAGCCGGCATCAAGCCACAGCACTCCAGCCTGGAGACAGAGCGAGACTCTGTCTCAAAAAAAAAAGTTAAATATCAGTCCATTTGCAGAATTTCAAAATTACCAAAAGTGAAGAAATTGGCCCTGAAGAACTGAAAAATATTTATTAGAGAAAAATGGAATGGTAAGATTGCCAATGGATATGGGAGCAGGGCATCTAAAAGGCATCTAGAGTTAGTAATCCCTGACATGTACAAAGGGGCATTCTCAGAGGATATCGTTATCTTCTCTGCCGTGGTTCAGTAGCAAGTCCTTGTGCCATCTAAATCTTACTACAGAAGGTCATCTTGTCTCATGAAAGTTTTAGGATCCCTGTCAATCTTGAGTATTTTAAGTTAGGGGAAAGTTACTTTGATACGAAAATGAGAGAGGGAAAAGTTTAGGGAGAGGGATTCGGATGAAAGAAACATGATATTCTAAACTTTTTGTAACGAGTCAAAAGCAGAGAAATGAAACCTCTCCAAAGGAAAATCAGATGTATCACTCATTCTACCTGACCTCACACCTTCTACTTAACATAAAGTGATGGTGCCATGGCACTGGGAAAACTCACGTGAAGCCGAGCCCAGTTGCCCTACTTCAGAATGTCTGCCAACTTCTCCTCATAGTAGAGGAAGTTCTCCTGAATGTCCTCCCAGGGCTGAAAGGCCTTGGATTCACCCTCTTCTTGCTCCACAAAATTCTGCCAGATGTACTCGAAGTCCTGGGGCTTCATGATGCGCAGTTTACAGCCGGCTTCCTTCAGCTTCTTCAAAGCAGCCTGGATCTCCGGCTCCTCCCACATGAAGAGTCGCCCCACCAGAATGAGCAGACGCAGGTTCTTGGTCTTGCTAAGGGTTTTGGTAATGCGGTCAGCGCAGGCTGCACAGGGGCTGGAGGACACATACCAGGTGACATTGTACCGCAGGGCTGGGTCGAAGGCTGGCAGGATAGTGTTGAAGAAGGCTTCCTCTGCATGGGCAGCCGCATGCTCATCCTCTAGGTATCCCCGAGTTGCCTGCACTTGGCCCCCCTTGCCCTGTGCCTCAACCACATAGCAGAGGAAGGTCTTGTTCCTCCCGGAACTGTACTCTACATTCCGGAACTGGAACTTAAAGAAGTTGGCAGGCAGCCGTTCTCTGTAGGTACAAGGAGACAAAAGGAAAGAATGATAAGTTCCTGTTTCTAGAACCAGCCTAGAGTAGGTAGCCCTTCCAGAACAGTATTTCAGAGATCCATTCATTCTTACTGTAAACAGGCTTTGCCTGTGGTAACATCAGTGGCAAAAAAAAAAAAAAAAAAAAAGCATGAAAAAATCCGAAAGGGTTTATCTGAAGGAGTGGAGAATTTGGATTAAGGTGTGCATGCTGATCACCCTATTAGGAAGGGTCTCCAAACATTGTCTCCACCATCACTCTTCCAGCAGAACACAACTCTACATTTCTAAATCAGTGGAATCTTTAACCTGCCTTAGAATCACATAGAAGACTCTTAAGAATTTCGGTGCTTGGGCCTCATGCCAAACCCCTGAAATCAGAACGTGGAGAGGTAGTCCAAGCATCAGCATTTTTTTTTTTAACTTTAGGTGCATACTATATCCAGCATTTCTCCCCGTGTTATCCCTCCCCACCCCCTGCTGTCCCTCCCCTATGCCCCTCAACTGTCCCCAATGTGTGATGCTCCTCTCCCTGAGTCCACATGTTCTCATTGTTCAACCTGATTCAAAAGTGGGCGAAGGATATGAACAAGCATCAGTATTTTTAAAAAGCTCTCTGGATGATTCCAATAAGTGGCCAGGTAAGTAGCAAGCATAAAAAATTTCTCATGACAGAGCAAGACAAAGATTTTGCAGAGCATTTCATGCTCTCTTTTCTCTTCCTTATAACTCATGTAAATGGCATCTTGGCATGAAATGGCCTAAAACTTGCAATACCATGCTCTGCTAGTGACTATTTCTCAAGTCTATATTTACTTTCAGGTGAAGGGATTGTCACATGGTAAGTGTCTAAGAATTATTATCTGTGAGCCCAGACTACTCAAGGGTATCTTGGGATAATTAAGCCTGTATTCAGTACTGAGTCACTTCAAAATCTTAAAAGACTTGGTCTCTGCCCTCCAGATGCTTATAATTTAGCAGATAGATTGCAGAAAAAGAAGATGTAAATAAAACAGCTGAGAACATTATAAGACTACTAAAATTGGATAGGTACAGTACAAGGTTCTTGAAAGTTTAGCCTTGATTCCGGAGGCAGTAGAGAATTGTCACAGGTTCTTGAGAAGAAAAACAATAAAAGTGGTGTCCATGAAGGATTACTGTGGTAGCAGTAGGCAGATGGTGTGAAGCTGAGGAAAACCCTGAAATTGAACAAGCCTAGTAGGTGTCTTAGGACTCTAGACTTGGCGATGAACTATGTGGGTGACTTTGAGGAGGAGATGGATGGTTAGGAAATGAAAACAGCAGGAAAAGACCAGGAATTCTGAAAATTTTGATAATAAGGAGAAGAAAAAAGAGAGGGCCCAGAGAGAACATCAGAGTTGAAGATAGTTTTTGCTTTTTTTTGTATGTGTGTGTTTTTCTGAAATAGGCAAGATTTGTGCAAGTTTGAAGGCCAAGGAAGATGAAATTTTAATAGGAGAGATGAAGAAGGTCAGAAGGAGAGGAGGAGATGAGTACCAGCTAGAAAGACTAAATATTTTTCTTTTTAAAAATGTAATCTCTCTGGGTGTCCCAAGGGATACCTGTGGCACTATTAATTCTACTATTGCCTGTCTCCGCCACTTCTCTTTCCCCAAAGAAGTCACCAGACTCCCTGGGCTGCAGGGGAATCCCTGGTATCCCAGGGCCTTGGCTGCTTAGGGATGAGCAGCAGATGCCAAAGATATGAGTAAACTTGACTTATTTCCCTGCAGGATTCCCTCTCCCCCGCCCATCTTCAAAATGTATCCACCCAAGTTTCCATGTCTCTTGCTGTCAGGTTCATTTTCCACTATGGAGATGGATGTGTTTGAGGACCCAGCCCCAGGATTCCTTCAGGTACTATACTTAGCTCTCTAAGCCCCTCTGTCCCTAGTTGGAGGTGTTTATTGTTTACTTAACATTTTAGGAGGATGGATTACCTAATGTTCCCTGTTCCTCTTCTCAATCCCTGTTTGGCATTCACTTACAGTGAGTGCGCCCTAATGACACTCACCCCACCAGACCACTCCTGAACCTTACCAGTTGCTAAATGGTCCCTTCACTTTTGCTTTTGAGAAGCATAGAGCTTACCTTTCCTGCCCAAACATGTTCTTCGAGGCCTTTTGCACCCTTCCCCAAGTCTAATCCAGGGCCTCCATGATGGATGATCAGGTGGAACCCCTGGAAGTATTCATGGCTACTCAAATAGCTTGGAGGCTTAAGGAGTAGCTGCCATGTGGTCCCTTCTTTCTTTCTGGAGCTCCCAAAAGCATTGCTCCACCTTTGCTCAGTATAACTCATTTGAAAGTATGAATTTAGGCCAGTGTGAATTTGGCCCAGCATGCAATTGCATATTTGCCTGGATGGTTGTGTGGTGGCTGTTTCTCTCTGCCCTTCTTAAGCTCTGACATTTTCCCCTCCTCTTCCCTAGTCAAGAGGAGAAGACCCAGAGAAACCTGAAACCCAAGGGAGAGGAAGAAAGGTCATCTCTCTATAAATACCCATTTCCGACCCCTTTGGCCAGCAGCCCTAGAATCTACTGTGTCCCTCCGCAGGGCCTTTGGACTAGGTGCCTTAGGAAAAGAAGTGCTTTCAAGGAGCAAAGGAAAGGCAGGGAAGGTTTGGTTCCTAGTCGTTCCTTTGGGCTTGCTTAGAGACTAAACTTGCTTGATTTCTGAATGGGTTTCTTGGTCTTCTGCAAGGAGCAAAAAGGTCAAATGAGATTCTTTAGGCCTCTCACAGACTGAAACAGCTAAGTCCTGGGGGAAAACCAGAACAGAGGTAGTAGAGGTCTGGAATTTCTCCAGGGAGCTAGACAATGTGGCCATCTCAGGCAATTCTGTAGACTCACAAAATAACATTATTATGCCCACTAGTGGAAGGAAGGAAATAATGACACCTAACCTGTTAAATATAGGCACCAGCATTTCTTCTTTTTTTTAAAGTAGCGTGATATGCCCAAGTACCATATTTTACTATAGCCCTTTACATTTAACCTAGAAAATATTTTACTGGTTAAGTGGTGTGTGTGTGTGTGTGTGTGTGTGTGTGTGTGTGAATGGTGGTCAGGAGCGACTCTGATGCTGGTAGTAGATTTCTTTCCCTGATCCAGTCACTTTTTCATGCATAGAAACCTACAGCCTGATTTCTCTTCCCTGTCCCCAGCCTCAGCACCTTGTTAAGCACCATTTCCTCATACTTTCTGCCAACAAGGCCAGCTACACTTCATCTGCTTAGACCCAGGCTACTGGGCATTTCAGTTCACTTGGCAGGAAACAGAGGGTCCAAATATCTAGAATAAAACTGGGAAGATAGTCTGCTGGATGAGGGGAGAAGGGATGTGAGTAAATGTAATCATATTTTTCTCAGTTTCATGTTCAGAATGTTTGAATTTTCTAAGCATAAATCTATACTGTGAAAGGAAGCAACCCAGAGGGCAGTTGAAGCTGGGCTGAGATTAAACATTTGCTCCAAAATAATCCGTGAGTGGAAAAATCTACTCACAGGTAATTATGTGTTGACTCGTTTCAGCTTTCCCTCACTAGACCTCTGGGTGACCGGTGTGAAAGAGAGAGGATTGCTGGTTTCCTTGGCCTTCTGCTTTCTCAGACCACTTTTCAAAGTGGTTATCAAGGAGTGGGCATAATCAGAAAGAGGAGTAAGAGCAGGAGTAGAGGGTTCTAGCAGCCTGCCTCCCTAGATCTGAGAAGGAAGTTCCAGATTGTGGGACTGGATAGGATTCTGCCCCAGGCAGGCCCTGAACTTGCCTGTTTTCCCTGGGAGGCATGGTCTTGACACCTGAGCTTTGACATGCCCGCAATCCTCTGTGGAAGTCAGATTGGCCAGTCAGTGGGCTGTCTTCTCTTCTTCATGGCACACCGCCCAGCATGCTGCAGAGGCCAGGGTGAGGGTAAAGGGCTGTGGCTGGCGTTAACTGGTGTCGAAGTCCCCTCAATACTTATCTCACCCTTCTCCTCTGGACACTGCCTCTCTGTGTTCCTTACATGGCCAGAGTAAACTACTGTTGCTAAACAAGTGATCGGAAGAAGAATCGCTCTGTATGCCATTTATCTTTGTTCCGTAATAATCCCTTGGATAGGAGGTTCTGCTTTCTGCAAAAACATACACAACATAACTAGAGACAAAGCCAAACACACATCAAGGGTGCTGCCAGGCAGAGCCCATAGTCACTTCTCACTGGGTTGGAGAGCTGGGTAGACAACCAGCCCTGGTGCCCCACAGCTCCCCTAAAACATGCTGTATCCAAAAGCAGGCATGAGCCAGGGGAATTCCTACCTAAGCCTAGTGCCACTGGATCTTCATACATCCTGAGCCGCTGTCCTCAAGAAACCCCCAGTTCACTCCCTATCCTAATGTCTGACAGAGAGCCTAAGAACCACACAAGAGGTTCTTATTCATTAGGTCTTTCATTTATTCAACAGATATTTATGGCGTACCCATCAGGAGCTAGGTGCTAAGGATAAAGCAGTGAAAAAGACAAAGTGCTGTCCTCATGGAGGTTAAATACTAATGGGGGAAACGGGCGTAAATAACAACTCCTATTCAGTAAACATAAAAAGAATCCTCTCTGGTTTTTGGATACAGTGTGATGATTTGGAGTCAGACAGTCCTGGGGTTCACATCCTACTCCATCTACAAGCTTTGGCCATATGACTTAATCTATCTGAGGTTTAGTTTCCTCACTTGAAAGAGTGAGTAATCCAACTTCTCAGGTTTTGGACAACAACAGACACTCAAAGCTAGTATAGGCTGGGCACAGTGGCTCATGCCTGTAGTCCCAGCACTTTGGGAGGCTGAGGCAGGAGGATTGCTTGAAGCCAGGAGTTTGAGACCAGCCTGGGCAACACAGTGAGACCCCATCTCTATAAAAAATACAAAACTTAGCTGGGTGTGGTGGCATGCACCTGTAGTCTTAGCTATTCGGGAGGCTGAGGCAGGAGGATCACCTGAACCTGGGAGGTTGAGACTGCAGTGAGCTGTGATTGCACCACTGCACTCCATCCTGGGCAACAGAGCAAGAAGCAAGACCCCATCTCTCCCTCCCCCGCAAAAAGTAAATTGATGTTATGATACGTGTGATGCCTTTTCCAGGCCTCACATTGTATCCTTCAGAGCTCCATCTTAAGCATTAACAAGCCTGATCCCTTTTTCATCGCTCTTCCTCTCACTTTGAGAGGTTTCTGTTTTTCAGTGGTGTGCTGGTAAGTGCAACACTTAGCTCTCTGACAGAAGGAAAAATCCCTGATTTCTAAAGTTTGCTGATTTCCATAAGGTAAGTACTCCCATTACAGAGATTTCAAGCTCCTGAGGTGACATGCAGAGTCTATTCCGATAGACTCGTGAACCAACAGGGGCTGGCTTCAACACACTACAGCAGTCTTAGACCCTTTTCCAGAACATTCTACCATGTTATTTTGTTAATGGGCTCAGTTCCACTTTCTATCCTGAATGCTCTATTCAACCAGAATCACTATTAGCTGGGCATCTCTCCTTTCTACCAGCTACCCTCTCCTCATGTTGGACTGTTTCCTGAAAAGCCACCTGCTCTTCTGCTAATTTTTGGCCCAAATATAAGGAGCACTAAAGATCTTCCCTCTAGAGACCAGGCTAGAAAAGGAGCTGCTTTGCTGATCCCCTTGACTCCAGGAGGGAGTCCTGGGGGAATGCATCTGGAGAGGGAAGGAGAGGAAAGCTATTCCCTCACCTTGTCCCTGCACAGGCCCAGTTGCACCTCTGGGCTATTTTAAGCCATCTGTTTACCCAGAGTGGCTCAGGAGATAGCTCTCCACAGCTGTTACTTGTGGCCAGGAAACACTAAGGGCTCTACCTCCCACCTGAACTGCTCTCAGAATGCTCAGAACGCTGCCCCTTCTGTGCCTCCTTTTTTCTGACTCTTGGGTCCTAGGAAGCCTCTGACCCTCACTACCTCCCAGATGGAAATAATGTGGAGCTCTGGGAAACCTGGGACCCAGAATGAATAAGAGACCAGTAGAAAGGATACTGTCTCCCTCTCCTCCCTTTGTGCTGAGTGTTGACTGGGCTCATGTTCATGAAACTGTGTTGTGATTATAAAGCCCTGGACCAATGTAAGTTATATCAGTGGACTTAACCCTTCAGGATCCATTGCTCTGGGACCCCCAAGGCATGTTTAGCTCAACAAACATAGTCTGTTATTGACCTACCCTGCCACTGTGTTGGAATGCCACACAGAGTGGCGTCTGTGTACACGCACGTGTGTATGACTAGGGATAGCGTGTACCAGCATGCTTAGGTGTTAGAAAAAGGCTCTCCTTCCTTGGAGAAGCCACTGGAATTGAGGACTCTCCTGGCCAGGTTGCCCTAGGCTTTCCCTGTGTCTATATTAATCTGTGCCCAGCTGCTCCCTTAATCCTAGGATGAGGGTGGGGTTAGTTGGGTGGGCATGGGCAAATGGAAGTTCAGGGGCTACTCTTGCCTCAGGAAATAGGATGCATTTTCCCTTAGGTTCTCTTAGAAATCAGAACATATCTGAGCTGAAATGGACTTCACTAGTATAGCCTCTTATGTTATAAATGCTAAAACTGTGGCTGACTAGAAAATCACATGCCAAACTTAAAATATCAAGTCCAAATTGCCACTCAGGGCTTCCTTTCCCCCTTGAAAGCATCATGCCTCTGTTCTTCCTGAAACTTCTTTTAGTCTCCCACCTGCTCTGCCTGTGGGCATTCCTGGAGACCCCATGAAGGAAACGTTTGGTTCAGGGAGGAAATGTGGCCTCATATATTCTCTTTTTATTCTTTGCTTAGGATCTAGCAGGTTCTTGCACTGCAGGAATAGAAAGGGAAGAGACAGAAGACTACTTAGTTTTATTCTTGGAGATGGTGTCATCTGGATAAGACAGAGGTACTCTGTACACAGCCCCCTCCTTGCAGTCTGTAGACCCTTTTCTTTGGGTCCCAGTTCCTCCAGGCAATGCCTGAGCATGTTGGAAGAGCTCCTGTGTCTATAAGCTCCTGGTCTGCATTACCTGCACTGTAATTTCTGTTTCTCTGTAGGACAGCGCCTGAGGAGACTCAGAAAAGATTTGATAAGAAAAAAGCTGCTTCTCTCTCAGTCTTGGGAAAGGATAGATCTATCTTTCCTGTCTTGGGAGCTTCTACTCTAGGGAAGATCTCTAAAGAAAGGGCCACAGGCCTATGGATAGTGGAGATACCAACTCAGGAACAGAGAGAGAAGTTGAAGGGAAGGGGTGCTTTGACTAGAGCCATACTTAGATGTGCCAGCCTCATTCTCTGTCCTCACCAGACTCCCTGGGTCTAAGTCTCTGCCCAGAGAGGCAGGTGGCTGTCCCCATACCAAGAGGCCTGAAGGGCAGTTTTATTCTGGGGCCTTGCCTCCAGGGAGCCCCTCCTACCTCTCCCTGATGAGAGAGCCCAACGTGTCACCCTGAGAAGCCATGAGAATTTGCTGCTGGGTCTCCGACAACCCCTGCCGTGCCCACTGGTGCACTCTCACTGCTGCAGGGTTGCAGTTGGCCCTGATGCCTAATACAACCATCCTGAATTTCCACAGCCTACCCCAAGCCTGCACTCTTCTAGGGAGCGGAACCCAGGCCCCATCTGAGGCTTACCCTGTGACGATCTCGAAGGGTGGCAGCTCAATCAGCTCCTTCAGCTTCTCAGGGTCGTCCAGGTTCTCCAGATCCTCCCCATTCTGGGAGGTAGCCTCAGCGGCTGCAGCAGCCTCTTCCTTCTGGGCCATGGAGGGGCTGTGGCTCAGGAGTCACTGAGAGAGAGGACAGGCAGGCAGATCTGAGCCAGGCCCTGGCGGCAGAGTCCCAAGCAGCTGTCAGCAGCTAAATCTGGCTGAGGATGTCGGGAAAAGGACCCGGCAGGCCAGGTTTCGTGCTTTCCCCACTTAGCCACGGGCTTTATAGCCAAGGCCTCCTGCCCCTCCCCCGGCTCTCTCCCTCTATCTTTTTTTAATTGAGTGACGGCGGGTGCTGCGGTGGGGGAATGGAAAATCTGGCCATTAGTATCCCCTATTTATCAGTAGGCAAAGACAGGAAGCTGGCAGGTGGGTAGGGCTTGGCCAACTCTCCTCTCCTTCTCCCTCTTAGCTCACCTTGTATTCTCCCCATTGTTTCCCACCCAACTGCCCTAGCTCCACAGGGGGAGAGTGTGGAAGGGGCCACAGGGTGGGCATCTTGAGATTTAGGAGGGTGGGCTTCTGAGATTTCAGCAGGAGGAGATGTGTGTTGAAAGGGGGTGACTGCGAAGAGACGCAGGTCATTTCCTTTGGGGGAACTTGGGTTCAGGAAAGGAGGGGCGCAGGAAGAGGTGGGATAAAGACTGACAGTTTGGGGAGAAAGTGAGTGAGTTGTGACTCAAAAGCGGAGGGTGCTGATTTGCCTGTTATGAAGCCATAATGCAAAATGTCAAATTGATCAGGAGCCTCCCTGAGTAACAATAGCTGCCATTTACTCAGCTCAAAGATTTTTGAAATAGGCCAGGCAGTGGGTTTAGGGGTTTAAATGAAAACAGATGTATGCTTGCCACAGCCCTGGGAGGCGATGTGTATTATCCCATGTTACACACAGGTAAACGGAGACTCACAAAAGTGTGCAGAGCCAGGATTAAAACACAGGCCATTGTACTTCAGGCCAGATATTCAAACTCTGTGCTTTGTGCCCTCAAAGTCAGTCTTTTATTCCTCTTAACAAATGTTTATTGAGCATCTACTCTATGCCAGGTGCTGTTTCAGGTACCAGGAATATGGCAAAAGAACAAAGCAAATGAAAATCCCTGCTGTGAGGTTTTGTGGAGCCTCAGGGACAGGACAACAAGTAAGATAAGTAAAATACATCATCTATTTGGTGTTGATAAGTGCCAAGGAGAAAAGACAGGAAAGGGAGACAGGAGGTGCTAATAGGTGGGGTTACATCCTTATAGGATGGTCAGGGTGAAGGACTTTGAAAAGGAGACAGCGGAAAAGGACCTGAAGGAGGCAAGGGAGCTAATCATTTGGATACCCAAGAGGAAAGCTTTCGTTTGAGGGAAGGAAGCAACATGAACAAAGGCTCTGAGAAGTGAGCATTCCTGGGGTGTCTGAGGAACTAGTAAGGACATCTGGGTGGCTGGAGAGGTCTAAGGGATTAAGCCAGGAAGATAACAAGGGTAAAAGGGGCTGGGGCCTTATGGGCTATTACAAGGACCTTGCTTTTTCTCTGAATGGGGTGGGAAGCCATTGTCTCTGAACAGATGAGTGGTGGTCTGAGCACTTGGGGAGAGCAGAGGCTGGGGACCAGTGAGAAGCCTACCGAGGCCAGAGAGAGATGATGAGGACCCCTAGAAAAGACCCCGAGCTGAAACAGCAGCAGAGGATGGCTAGATGATTTTTGCAGCTCTCATGATGGGTACTTAGTGGCACACAAGTCTTTGTGTTTGGAGCAGTGCAGACACTCTAGGCCATTCTCAGGGAAGTGGAACGAAGGAGCCAGGGTCACTTGCAGGTTGAAAATGAGGAACAGAAGAACACTGGGGAACGGATCTGAAAACAGCTCCAAATGGATTTGCATGGTGGGGATGAGAAGAGTCAAGATGGCTTGGAAGATTTAGGCTCCCTCCTCCTAAACAGCAGAGTGCTCTGTTAGTGTGATGCCCAGCATTTTGGTTTGCCAGGGATGCTCATGGTTTCTTCCTGTCGTCCCGGCATAATTGCTAATAGCACCCCTTCACTCCCAAAGGTGTTCCACTATGGACAACCAGTTATATGGTCACCCTACCATTAGACTTATTACTAAAACCTTTTTTTTTTTTTTGAGATGGACTCTCACTCTGTCACCAGACTGGAGTGCAGTGGTGCAGTCTCGGCTCACTGCAACCTCCGCCTCCCAGGTTCAAGCGATTCCCCCGCCTCAGCCTCCCTAGTAGCTGGGACTACAGGCAAGAGCCACCATGCCCAACTATTTTGTTGTATTTTTAGTACAGATGGTGTTTCACCATGTTGGCCAGGATGGTCTCGATCTCCTGACCTTGTAATCTGCCTGCCTCAGCCTCCCAAAGTGCTGAGATTATAGGCGTGAACCACCGCTCCTGGCCACTAAAAGCATTTTTATCCAGATCCGATTTTTTCAGATATTTTTCCAGGGGAATAAAGCACAGAGTAGAGCCGGGCGCTGTGGCTCAAGCCTGTAATCCCAGCACTTTGGGAGGCCGAAGGCGGGTGGATCACGAGGTCAAGAGATCGAGACCATCCTGGTCAACATGGTGAAACCCCGTCTCTACTAAAACTACAAAAAATTAGCTGGGCATGGTGGCGCGTGCCTGTAATCCCAGCTACTCAGGAGGCTGAGGCAGGAGAATTGCCTGAACCCAGGAGGCGGAGGTTGCGGTGAGCAGAGATCGCGCCATTGCACTCCAGCCTGGGTAACAAGAGCGAAACTCCGTCCCCCCCAAAAAAAGAAAAAGCACAGAGTAGAGGTAATAATGCCTGTGTCCACAACAAAAAGACAGTGGCAGCTGATAAACTGCAAAGAATGTTGTTATCACACAAATATACCACATTTAAATGCGAAGAGTTTATTTCATTCTCTTGTGCAGTCAACATTTATCAAAGGTTCCTGTGTTCCAGGTGCTGTGGTAAATATCAAGAATACAGAGATGAATAAGGCGCTGGCTCACCAGGGGCTCACAGCCTTTATCATATTTGGGGCATTAATCAGGCACTCAGGCATGCATTATCTCATTTAGTCCTTACACCAGTCTCACCTGAGTGTGAATTATTGGGCTCATTTTGCAAATGAGGAACTCGTGGCTTAGAAAGGCGAGATGATTTGTATAAAATCACCCAGGCTTTGAGTTCAGGTCTTTGGAGCCGAAGTTCAGTGTTATGCCCAGAGCTGCACACAGCTGCCTTTGATTAAACATCTCAGACGCATTATACATATGCATCCCCCTCCCACTTCCCAGGCCCAGCTACGGTGATACACCTGGCTCAATGGAGGAAGAGTAAAATGGCTTGCAGAGGAAAGTGAGGAGGATGGATCCTTTCAGTTTTCATTGTTCCCCTGCAAGAAAGACTTCTTCCCTAAGGACAGGTTCTTCTATTTTGGCTGTCATGTATAACCCTGGATTAGGAGGCAAAAAATATTCTATGTTCATATCCCCATCTTAGCCCCCGATTCATTGTGTGATCATGGACAAATCACTTGACATCTCTGGGCCTCCGCTTTCCCATCTGTGACACGGGCTGTGCTACTGCTTTCTATTTCCAAATGGCCAAAGGGCTGAAAATAGGGTGCGGAGTGGGCCTGTGAAGACAACAGGTGAATGGTGTGGCGAGAATTTCCTGCTTCTCCCAGCAGCGCAGAGTGAGCGGTGCACAGGTGGTCTCAGGCTGGTCCTCTCTGAAGAGTTGACCCCTTTCTCCTACCTTCCCTATAGACAATTTTCCCTTTGACCTTTGGGAAAGGACCCTGGGCCTGCCCCCAGACTGATGACTGACAGCTTCCTTTTTCACGGCTCCTCTGAACCTTCCCCTTCTCCCAGCCTGCCATCCTAGAGGCCCTCTGGCCTGCTCTATTTATGGCACCTCCTGGGGGCCTGAATTCCTGGCTGGTCCCTGGCTCTCCTTTCCAAGTCAGACCAGTTTACCCTACTCGCCCCAATGTGCAGCAACTAATCTGGGGGATCAGATGCCAGAAGCTTGACTCCCCTCCCTACAGCTGCCTCTATTCTCTTAAGGGCTGGCACACCCCATTCCCAATGTTAACCCTATAGGGTGAGGTTCCATCAGTAGTCCCCCTGCTACACAGGAGGATACTGGGCAATAAGGTGTTTCATTCAAGGTCACACGTGGAGTCAGTGGGGTGCTGGGATTTGAACCCAAATCTGTCAGCTCCTAAGTTCCATGCTTCTCCTACTGTGTTATATTCCCTGGAATTTAGTAACAAGGAAAGCTGACATTAACACTGTCCCTGATGCTGGCCTGACATTGCCCTAAAAACATCATGTAGGTTAATTCATTTGTTCCTCACAAGGATGTTTGGGGTAGGTACTATTATTATCCTAATTTTTCTGGTGAGGAAATTGAGACCAGAGAGGTTAAGTGACTTACCCAAGGTGACACAGCTAGAGAGGGCAGAGCCATGTGCTTCCAGAATCATACTTTTACCTCCTTCACCATTCAGTCTCAACTGCTGCCAGGACCCCTGAGGCTTGGCTCTGGGAGAAGGGAAGGACAGAGACCAGAAGGTGTTGAAGAGGCTGAGAAGGAGTTCTTGCAGGAAGACCAGGCCCTAGCAAGTAATTGGTACATGAAAGGTGTGTGTGTGTGTGTGTATCTGTATGTTTGTGTATCTGTGTATTGGGGGTACAGGTAATGATACCAGATAGCTGGTAAGCGGGGATGGAAACCAGAATTGGAAAAGTCTTAGCCTGTCTCTGTAGGCCCTTGCCCCCTTCTGTAGGGATGGCAGTGGCTGGAAGGAGCTGGGTTAGGCCTGAGGTATGCTGCAGCCTGCCTTTCCCTGTCCCATTTCCCACGGTCATTTCAGAAAACATTCAGAGATTCAAGGAGGTGGCTGAGAAGGAGTGAACAGGATCAGGCATGGTTGTTCCTTGGAACTTGGCTGGATATGGAGCTGCCCTCACTGGGAAGGGAGCAGAGAGGCCAGGAGGGGGGCGGGTGGAAAATGGAAACCTCACCAGAGGAAGGTTTAAATTCTCACTCCGTGAAAGAGGATACCTCAGGGGTGCATTGATGGAGTCGGTGCTTTATGTGCAGGGACAGCTGGGACCCCAACAGCGCGTTGCCCCAGAGACCCAGCCCAGGCGTGCCTGCCCCTCCGGTCACTACTGAGACAAGGTACACAAACAACAGGCCTCGGGCACCACGCACCCCTCTGGAGGGCGGGAGGCTGCTTCCTCTAGCAATTGCTCTGTTGACATAAACACAAGGTGTCCAGGGCTTTGAGCAGCCTTGGCCAGGGAAGAGGGGAGGGGGCCAAGGGTCTCCAAGTCTGAGGCAGGGATTGGAGAAGGCACCAGAAGGGCAGGACAGGGTTTTCTGTACAGGACACGATGCTTGCCTTGCCATGTGGGACACGCTGCCCTGGGCAAAATGGTGACTCCTGGGGCTTTAGTCCTGGTCACCATGGTCTCCATTCCAGTGGCTACTCCTGGCACCGCCCAGCTCCTGTGGCACCGCCTGGCTCCCGGGGCTGCCACTTTCAGTCTTTGAAGAAAGTGATCTGATAAAGATCATGTACATTAAGGTGACTAATTCCTCTTTGAAGGGGTGTTTGCAAGGCCAAAGAACCCACTGGGAGGAGTCGATAAACTACAATCAACTTTTGACAGGAAATTTCAGCCCTTTAGACGAGAAATGTGTTGGAGTAGGTGCAAGTGTTAGAGGGATTTTTCTGGTGCTTCTCTTAGCAAATAATCTCTGTGTGGGCTGGGGGACCTTGGAAAGGGACAAAAGCCCAAATGAACATGGTCGAGGCCCTGGTGTGACCAGGGATGGCTTCCCCTGGCTTGCATACCAGAAGAAGAGCCTAAATGTATGGAGTGTCCTCGACATTTGGGGGTGGGACTGGGGGGAGGAGTCTGGGAGGCAGGTGAATGTTTTGGTGGGCTCTACCTCAGGATAGAAGAGGAAGGTCGAGATCCGAGAGAGTCCTCAGCAAAGTTGGGCTTCGGACTGAGTACCTTGTGAGCTGCTAATGAGAATCAGCAGTAAAATCTTTAAAACAAAGGGATTGTGTGCTTGGTTTCCGGATCCACAAGAAAGGGGATCTCTAGGAAGACTCTGAAATTGGGCTTGGGGTACAGGGGAACGCCAAGAGATAAAGCAAATGGTGGCCATTCACAGAAGAAAAGAGACTTTGGAAACCTGGCCCAGGCCTGGCAACATTCAGGGGCCTCCAGGCTTTCCCTGTGTATCAGCTCTACCTGCCTGTAGGTAGGACCCAGAGATGTGCAGAATAAACACTTCCTGTGCTCCGCCCCCTTCCATGCCCTGCTGACCAACATTTGTCCACTAGACATACACCTACCAGTCTGCCATCTCACCTAGCCCCGCTATGCCTCCATTCTGCAGATAATGGCAAAGTGAGGAAGAGTGGAGGTTTAGGGGAGGAAAGGATGGACTAGGATACAATAGAATGAGATATGCCACCTCCTGGGTCTGCTATTTTACCTAGTGCCTCTCCAGCCACTGGAGGGGACATCTGCAGAGCCTTATGATCTTGTCTGTCTCCCACTCACCAAATCAGAAGCAAATGGAAAAATACTGCCTCAGGACAAAAATGCGCACAGAGAATTTGGATGGTGGAATCCTGGGATACGCTTACAAAGACAAGAGGCAGCTCCGAGTCTATTTAGGCACAACTATTAGTAACAAGAGAGGAGGGCCAAAGGCAGGTGTCCACCAGGCTGGGCTCAGAACCGGGAAGTGGGGTAAGGAGAAAGACAATTGGCCCAGGGAGGTTGGGAGACTGTGGGATTAGAGGCTCTTTTCACCCAGGAACGAAGGAGTTGGGGCAGGGGGGGAATTTAAGGACAACTTGGGAGTCAGAGGATAAGAGTTTGGAGTTGGGATTCTGCCCTTTCATGCTGAGTTTCTGCACAAGGCCAAAAATCTCTTTAGTTTGGCTCATGCTGTATCAGGCAGTCATGCCAGCCCAGAGCTTGGGACACTGCCCAAATTAAGCTTTCTTCTAGGGCCAAGTCCAAAGCATGGGTTAGTGGCTCCAGTCTGCCCTGGGGAGGTCAAAGTAATACCATAGGCATCGTACATCTTTATGGGGGTTCCCCCTAACTTCTAGAATTAGCTGGTAACGTGAATAAAATTGGTAGCATATATTACAATGCATATATTATGAGATGATAATAAGAATAATGGAAGATACATCTGGGGTGCCCACTTGCCAAGATCACACAATGGTAATGGAGCTGGGGTAAGAACCCAGCAATTTGACTTCTGAGCCCATCCTCTGTCAATTAGTATTTATAGCTAAAAGTTGCACCAGCTTACCAGTTAATAGATGATAGAGTCAGTATCCAACCCCAGGTTGGTCTGACTCCTTGGCCATTACTGCAAAACACCATACCCTATTGCTTTCATTCCCCAAGATGATCTGATTTCATGGGTCTCAAGTGGGGCTGGAGTCCCAACAAGGCCCTCAGGTGGTCTCTGGAGCACATTGTGAGAAGCAACGCCCTGCAGCAATGGTTCTCAGTTTAGCTGCACACTAGCACCAGGACTTTCCAAAATGATGAAAACCTTTCTGTTCTTTTTTCAGTTGTTCCAGAGTAGTGGTGGGGCATAGGGGTGGTGGCAGGGTGCTGGTCAGCCTTTGTTTTGAACGTATGACAATGCGTTCATTTAATTATTCAATTAATCAACAAATAAAAACATACGAGCACCTACCCCGTGCTCTGCCCTGCCCTGGCGCTGGAGATACAAAGGTGGGTGGGACACGGTGTGTGTCCTCCTGGGGTGCCCGTGACCTGACCCTCTGGGCTGAGCATGCCCTTGGTGGAGGAGAGGAGGCTGCAGACTCCCTCTCTTGGGTGAGCTCTGGGAAGAGCCACTCCCCTCCTCAAATTATGCTGCCCTCGTGGCTTCTCACCCGAGACCGCACAGTTTGTTTCAGCTCTAAAACTCAGCTCACAAAACCTCAGATTGTCAAGGCTAAATGGACCCTGAGAAATGATCTGTGCCCAAGCGGCTGACAGAAGTGCTCAGGAGCTTTTAACTCTAAAGATGCCAGGAGCCCACCCACAGCGTACTCATTTATGGGTCCTGAGTGGGGTCTGAGGAATATGTAAAAAGCTCCCAACAGCTTCTCAGCCTTGGCTGCACCTGAGAAGGTCTCAGGGAGTTTTAAAAATGTTGGTGCTCAGGCCTCCTCCCTGGAGAGGCTGATCAGGATTTTTAAACACTTCCAGTGATCTCATCATGTAGCAGGTGGAGACCCCCTACTGCAAGGTGTCTGGGCCTTCCAGCTGATCTTGTTAAAGATTTGGGGAGGTGTATCCAGGGGCGGTCACTCCTTGCCACCATCAGGGCCTTAAAACCAGGGCAGAAGAAAATCAGAGAAGGGAGGAGACAAAAATTTAAAAGCCACTAAAAGGTTTAGAAAAAGAAGCAAGATAGAAGGCTGAATAAGCAGCTCCTGTGAATTCACCTGTCAGCACCCTGAGGCTTAATCTCTTTTTTCAATGTTCTTTGCTTTATTCTAATAGTAATTAATTGATGTAAAATAGGGAAAGCATAGGAATGTATGAAAGCAAAAATGGTCTATAATCTTTTTTATCAGAGATTCATAACTTATATATCATATAACCATAATACATGTTATAACTAGATACTGCATCATAAATCTGATATATAATGTATAATATATACTATATAACCTTAACATGTATAATTAGTACCTTTTTTTTTTTGAGACAGAGGAGTCTCCCTCTGTCTCCTCTGCTGTAGTACGGTTGCATGATCTCGGCTCACTGCAACCTCTACTTCCTGGGTTCAAGCGATTCTCCTGCTTCAGCCTCCCGAGTAGCTGGAACACAGGTGTGCATCACTGCACCTACCTAATTTTTGTATTTTTAGAGATGGGGTTTCACCATGCTGGCCAGGCTGGTCTTGAACTCCTGACCTCATGATCCACCTGCCTCAGCCTCCCAAAGCTCTGGAATCACAGGTGGGAGTCACCACACCTGGCTCCCTAGTGCCCTTCTATTAAGTGTATTTTTCTGTTTTGGCTTTTTTGTCACTTTGTAAAAGGCTTTTGTTTTTCAGATAATTAAACATCTGAGTGCTAAATCTTTTTGCCATGTGGGGAGGGCATGTGAGTGGAGGCAAGCTGGTGTGCCCACCCCTTGCGTAGGCCTTCACACATTCATTCCCGCACACACACTCACACACAGGTACGGAAGCTTCTATTCCCACTCTGCCACCCTAGGCATCATATTATACATTCAAATACACACTTCACATCATATCCTCAGAGTTACTAATAGGATTTTATTATTTAGGTGTAAAATCAGTTTCCCCCCTCTTTCCCATTTTTCTGATTTCTAAGGAAAAATGGCATTAGGGGACCCAGGAGGGTGGTCCCATTGGGGTGAGCCCTAGCTCACCTGCTTGCTGACTCCTCCTCCCCACCCTGGCCATCCCTCCTCTCCGTTGCCCTAGGGCCTCAGTTGCTCTTCTCCGTGGGCGGAGGCTGGTGCACTGGACAAAGGCTGTCCCTCCACAGGTGGTAGGTGAGGGCTGCAGTCACGGTGAGCCAGGCTAGGTAGGGCAGCAGTAGCAGGGCAGCCAGCTTGTTGATGGGATGCCAGATGAGTGCTGTGCTCACCACCAGCCCATACAGCAGCAGCAGGTGCAGCAGGGCCTGGGCACAGGGGCTGGTGGTCAGCTGGCTTCCTGAGAACCGGCTCCTCCACCTTTCTGCAGTACCCAGCCCAGCATCGAGCTAAGTCCCTGGGGCTCTGTGCACACCACGGGAGTGCAGAGAAGTCTGACCTCCTGTTACCTGCCCGCACTCAATCGCGCTGCTGAATTATCTGCTTCTGGGCTTTGCTGGTTTCACCCTCTCCCACATTACTTCTACTACTGAGCACTGTTGCCTTACCAGACCAGGGTTGTGGACTATGAAAAAGAGAACCAGGACAGTCCAGCTGATGGTGAGCTGAACAGCATAGAGGCCGAGAGGCAGGACCAGAGGCCACCCCAAGCCCCCTCTCAGGTCCTTCCACACCAGGTAGGAGGCGTAGCTGTGAAGAGATGGCAGCAAAAGCACTCAACAGAGGGGGTGCCATGGCAAATGGAGGAGGTTTTCTGGCACAAGAACTCTTGGATATCCTTATGGGCTGAAATGGGGGCAGATGGGTCTAGGCATCATTTGAGGGCCAGGGAGGGAGTTGTTAGGAGAAGCTGGGCACAGCGAGGTGGGGGAGGGTGTGGGGAGGCTTAGGGTGGAAGAAAAGCTAACTGGAACGCCAGGCAGCCTCAGAGGGTTTCTTACTTTCTGGAGGGCCCACCATAAGAGGCAAGACAAAGTGCCTGCCTTTGAAGGCCAGCATATGGCAGTAATTCGCATATAGGGGACTTGCTCCCAATGCAGTGGGTACCGGGGCCATGGGTGAGAAACAAGTACTCACCCCACGACAGAGTAGATGGTTGTCTGTACGGGCAGTAGGACTTTGTGGAGTGGGCACCAGGACAGCGTCCTCGGGCCCTCACACCAACCAGACATCTGATTACGAGTGAACAGCCAGACCAGGATGGGCCCCATGTGGGGCAGGAGCACAAAGATGGCCCCTTGAAGCCGCATTCACCTTGAGGTGGCAAAATCTGGGAAGGCAGAGAACATACTAGTGATGAGCATTCCCCTGTGGCTCCTCGTCTGTCTCTGCCTCCTAACCTGACTCATTTCCTGGCTTGAGCCCCTCAGAGGAAGTCTAATCACAGAGGTCCTTCCTCTCTCCCTGGCCAGCTCCAGTCCTGTGCCTCTGAGCGCTCTCCATCCCCAGGCCCCGACTTGCCCATCTTCTGGCTTCCGTGGACTTTTTTCCTCCATAGTGCTCTTCTGGCACTTGGCGGACACTTGGCCCAGCACTGATAACTGCTTCTGAGTGAAAGTCCTTCCTTCTTGTGCATCTGACTCCTGGAGATCAGGTCCCAAGTGACCAGCTTTTCTGCCTCCCACAGTGGGCAGCTCTTGAGGGTGTAGCTGGCCCTCACCAAGAAATGTTCTACCTAAGCTGACAGCAACGAACCTGGAAAGACCACGATCTGAAAGCAGGAGCCAGAGATTCCTGGGGCTGTTTTCTAGTCACGAATGGGACAGCCCATCTGCCCCAGGCTTATCTCACGATATCAGACTGGTATACTCATGGGGCCCACCCAGGCTGACCTCCTGCCCAAATTCACACTCAGCCTGTTGACACTGTGGATTCCTTTCTCTGAAGCCTTAGCTGTCTTCTACCCCTGGAGCTGTGGGGGATGAGCTTCCTGCTCTCTCTTTCCACTTCCAGAGAGTCAGCAGGTAAGCACAAGCGTCCAGGTTTCTTGTGGCCTGACTTTTCAAGGAAAGAACTGCCTGGTCTTTGATTAAAAAGCTGCCATGCTGACTGGCATGTTGCTTTGCATGTCATTGGCATGTGGGACAATGTATGGACCCTCCTCCACCCAAGGCCTCCCCCAATATCGTTCTTCTCATTTGCTCATGATTCAGCCTCCCGCCATGATTGACCAAATTTGAAGAGTAGAAAACAATCATTTTCAGTGTTCTGGACTGACTACCTAATCCGTCCTTTTTTTTTTCTTTTGATACAGAGCTTTGCTCTTGTTGTCCAGGCTGGAGTGCAATGGTGAGATCTCAGCTCATCAGCTCACTGCAACCTCCATCTCCCAAGTTCAAGTGATTCTCCTGCCTCAGCCTCCCTAGTGGCTGGGGTTACAGGTGTGCGCCACCATGCCCGGCTGATTTTGTATTTTTAGTAGAGATGAGGTTTCGCCATGTTGGTCAGGCTGGTGAACTCCTGACCTCAGGTCATCCCCCCGCCTTGGCCTCCCAAAGTGTTGGGATTACAGGCGTGAGCCACTGTGCCTGGCCCTAATCCATCCTTTTCTGTCAAGGGTCAGGGACACTGGTCCTGGAGGTTCTGGGACAGAGCTGAGCAACATGCCTGCCTGTGCATCTTTTCACTTGTCTTTCTCTGCTCCTCACTGTCCATTTGCTCATCTTATGCTTTCCTGTTTCTCTACATTTCTGTCCCGTGGTGGAGGACCCCTCCCTGCCCCTTGCCGCCCCCATCCTCTTTTCTGCTGACACTCATCACTCCCAGTGCCTCCCTGTTCCCAGGCCTGTGCTCCCCTTACCTCGGGCAGCACACCTCCCGGGCAGGTGCCTGATGACATATGATGTGTGGACTGCAGAGGAGGGTGGGGCTGGTAGAAGGGTGGAGTGGTTCTCCCAGCTGGTCTGCCTTTCTCAGATGACAAGGGTGGTGACCCTGGCTGGGAAGTCCAAGTTGCTGTTTCATGGCCCCAAAGAGTTTCTCCCAGGAGGGCCCCCTGGGCCCTCTTGATGTCTGGCCTCTGGAGGCTACCGCTTGATGAAATGTTTGCGGGTTTGTGGTGAGGGTTTGACACTGTGACACCTGGACCTCCTGTGACAGCTCAGCCCCAAGTTATAATGCTATTGATGACTGTTGTCTCTGCATCCCATGAACCAGCTCTGTAGCCATGGGAGTGAGTGGTAGGAGCACTCAAATTTCTCCAGATCCTCCCTATAACTGGGATTGTCCCCAAGGGTGGCAAGCACCTTGGAAGTGAGTTCATGATCCATGAACACAGCCCCTGCTTATAGCCTCCTGGTGGGCATGACCCTTCCTGGCTTAGAACCCCAGCTTGACAGATGTTTCACAAACCCCTAGGACTTTAGGACTCAGAGGAGGAGGCAGCTGACAAGTGGAGGTGGGTGGGGAGTCAGGCGGGAGTGACCTGGCCCTCCCTGGCAGAAAGTCCTGCCTCCCAGCTGCCCTAAAGAGGGGTAGGGGAGAGTGTCCCTGTCTGTTGGCAAGGTGCAGTCTCCTGTGTGACTCAGAGCTTTGTTCAGCAAAGACAAACAGTCCTACCCGACTCCCTTTGTTTCCCATCAAGATTCCGAGCACGCCTTCTCGCTTGTCTTTAGGCATGAGGCCTGCTTCCAGGTTACTGCTCTCTACCCATTCCTTCGCTACATCTCTGCACTTTGGGGAAGTGGGCTCCCCTGGGAGGTTTATCCCACCCTCTCACCTCCACCAGGGAAGGAAGCAGAGGGGAGGGATTGCAGTCAGAGACAAGAGGCTAGAGAATTATTAACTGAGACAAGGCAGAGGAAGTTACTTATTTTCTAGGGGAGATGATAACTAGGGGCCTCGGGGTATTCACCAAGCCCCCCCAACTACAGGAGGCCAGACCGTGGTGACAAGGGTTACAGGCGTTCACCAAGCCTCCCCAACTACAGGAAGCCAGACCCTGGTGACAAGGGTTACAGGCATTCACCAAGCCCCCCCAACTACAGGAGGCCAGACCGTGGTGACAAGGGTTACAGGCGTTCACCAAGCCTCCCCAACTACAGGAGGCCAGACCGTGGTGACAAGGGTT